CCCACCCTCCTGCCCCAAGGGGTAGAAGAGGAGAGAAGGACATGAAACTGACAAATTGGCATAAATTTTAACCACAGTGGAGCTTATTTAGATATGTAACCAAAGTGGGCTAATAGCGTGGAGTCTTGGAAATGTAATTGGGGTAAATGGAGAGCAAATTACTGAACCACATGTTAAAAGTAGAAATTATAAAACAACAAAAACCTCACAAAACCCTAAAATTTGAATTTCTGTTTTCTCTATCACATCACTTAACTATATTTTGGGCTAAATGTGTATACTTATTACACATCTTCCATAGGGCAGAGAATGATCTAAGAGTCTTGGGTAAAAGGAGATGGTATTGATAAAGGAGCTTATGACCCAGAGGACATATTTCCTGGAACAAGCGGGTAGCTGCAGCTTCTAGATGATCGAGTTCAACCTAGTCGAAGATTTAATCCCAAGACCTGTAAAAAATAGAGAATGAATATTGGCTCTGGCTCCCTAAAAGGTACAGACTTTAGACTTACTGAAGGAACTAGAATTACAAAATTATCTCATCTCAGAAAAAAAGAAATGATCCTTCATACCATCTTTGCCTTTTAAAGGTAAGCTGTGTAATCAGCTGGCTTGTCAGGCTGTTTAACAAGGTAAAGAATATTAAAATATTTGTCTTGGCTTCTGCACTTTGTCAGTGCTATAAAAATCACAGGATAGAGCCTGCCGATCATTTATTTGACTGTTTGAATGAAGGAGTTTGATGGAGGCAACAGTCTGTAACTAAACAAGACGCCTGCAAAATTTGGGCGCCGGAAATACCATCTGGTGGCCGGATGGTATTTCCCAGAGTGGGTTCCAGAGCTGAATCAGAGGCAGCTTCCTCCACTGGGCAGGTGGGTGGAGAAATTAAGCTTCTGTGCTCCTTTGGAAAGTCATCAGTGATCTCTTCCTTTGCAAGGCTATTGAGGGGTGAAAACCCACCCTGGGGTTGCCATTATCACGGGGCTTATGCCGAGAATCTCCTTGTTTTCTTGCTCCGATAATGTTGTCAACTGTTGGGGTCTCTGAGCAATCTCCCTATGAGTAGTACTCCTCTTATCTTTCCTGGCGCTGAAGAAGTTATGAACTGAATGAAGAGTAAGAGTGTGTTCGAAACGTATCCCTGAGGACAGCTAAGTCGGAGGTCATGCTTACAGTTCTGTAGCCAAGTGGGCTTGTTGATTCTCAGCTCCAGAATGAAGCAGGCTCACCCACTCAACCCTGGTAGCACTGAACAGAACAGGGCTTGCTACAGGGAAAGGGCTACCCGGGCAAGAGTTTTGGGGGAACTCCTGTTCCCCCTGGACTGGCTGGTTCCCAGAAGTAATGAAGCTAGAGCTCAAGTGAGCATCCTTAGTTATTTTTCTCAAATTCACCAGTCAAATGAATGATGTGTTGGGAGATGGGGAGAGATCAAAGTCTGTCAACAATACAGTTCTCTCCACTTGGAAGGAAACTTCAGGAATGGAGAGAAAGCTTCCTCTACCTTTAAAATCAATTCATGTAGGCATGCTCCCCTTGCTGGCAGGCCAAGTTCTCAGCCATGTCTGCTCAGGTGTACTCCATCCTGTCTGCTCTGCAGCCTCCCTAATTCTTTTTTTTTTGTTTGTTTGTTTGTTTGTTTGTTTTTTTTGCGGTACGCGGGCCTCTCACTGTTGTGGCCTCTCCCGTTGCGGAGCACAGGCTCCGGATGCGCAGGCTCAGCGGCCATGGCTCACGGGCCCAGCCGCTCCGCGGCACGTGGGATCTTCCCAGACCGGGGCACGAACCCGTGTCCCCTGCATCGGCAGGCGGACTCTCAACCACTGCGCCACCAGGGAAGCCCGACCTCCCTAATTCTTAATGCAGACACAGTTGTTCCAACTTCAATCTGCTGTGTTAAAGATTAGTGCCCATGCACCAAACACAAATAGAGGGACGCATGGCAGTAAGGCGACTCTTAGACCCCCTCTCTGCTGTGTTTCCCAAGGCTTCTCCCAGGCTGTGGACTGGTATTATCTCCCATTTATGGGAAGGCATCCGTGTTCTCCAGGACCTCTCCCGCACTGTAATTCATGCTGCATGCTATCACTGGACTAGTTTTCTGAAAACACTACTCTTACTGAGTCACTCAAACTCTATGAGTCTCCATTTCCTCATTGGTAAAATGGATATGTTTATGTTTTCCCTGCTTGCCTATCTCTATTGTTGTTGAAAGGACAAACAAGACCATGGATGGAAAAATGCCCTGTAACTTGAAAACTGTCATGTGTATGTGGATGTACCAGCCCACCTTAGGGACCCTCATTTCTTTCTATTGTCTATCAGATCGAGTTTGCACTATTGAGCTTGGTGTTCAAAGCCTTCATAATCAGACATGTTCCAGACCTCCTCTCCCCTTGTTACCCTACAGTCCTGGTTCTTTTTTCCTTCCCTACCTATCCCTCTGGGAAGCTTTCCTGATTGCTCCTACCCTCAGGATTCTTCCTCTCATCTGAGCTCTTACAGATTCTGTAGTTGGAATAAATGCATGTCAACCACAGCTGTACATTAGAAACACCCAGAGAGCTGTTAGATGATATTGTTGTCTGCATCTCACCCCAGAACAATTGAATTAGAATCTTTTGGGGTGAGGCCAGGATCACTGTTTTCTAAAAGCTCTCCAATGACTCTAATGTACAGCCAGGGTAAAGAACCCCTATTGTATACCATACACTCAGCATTGAATTGCTTTGGTCTCATGAGTACATCTTTTCCCCCTAATTGCTCTTTGAATTTCCCATAGGACAGAGGCCCTGCCCCGTCTCCCCCTCCCCTCCTTCCTTCTGTTGTGCCTTTTGTCTCTCCTGGACACATCTGGCTTCTGTGGGTTATCCTTACCAAATTTACCTTAGGACACATTCATCTGCCCCTCTTCTTGTCCCCCAAATCTGAGCTCAGCAAGCTTTAGTAAATACTGTGTGGTGGGCCATAGATTGAGTCCAGTCTGAGCTCACCCATGGAGTTCAAGTTTATCATGTATGCTTGAGTATGCGTGGTGGACTGGTGAGGCGCATTAACGAGAAGTCTGTTTGTATAAGGGACCCATCAGCTCTTGGGAGAGGATTCATTTTTTGAGGTGGGGGAGTCAGGAATCAACAGAAGTGAACATTTAGAACCAGATGCCCAGAACCAACCTTAGGAGGCAGGGGGGAGGTATATTCATGGAAAAAAATTCTCTGATGGATATATGTGTTCAGGGCTTGGGTGCTTAAGATAAATGTCATTTAGCGGTGATACTGTGGTTCACACTTCATTAAATAGTACACACTGGAATTCCTTCATGTTCTGGCCTCACTATTTCCCCTCTTTGCCAACAGAAAGCTATGTGGGAGTTTGTCAAAACCTTCTGGGGATTTGGTGGTTCTAATTGTGGAAAAGAGCATCACTTAGAGCTCAAGGATGGAATTCCTGTTTTCAACAGACGCATTCCCTATTACATTTGTTTCTCATTCATGCATGAGATGAATTCATTCTCATTCATGTAGAGAGACCCTGCACATCCGTGATTATACACCCACTCAAGTACAACCCTTCCTGCATCGGGCTTGTTCTAGTTATGGTCATTCTTGCAGCTTGGTCAACTCTGGGCAACTTCCAGGTTGGTTGCAGTTTTAAGGAAATGCTCCCGTTTCATTTCTGTTGCTCTTTTATACGATGTTGGAGTTTGATACAAATTCCAAGCTTTATTCACCAGGTCTTCTGCTTCCCAGGGTCTTTTTGAATCTCTCCCATGCTTAGTTGCTCTTCAGTGCACATCTGACCTCTATGGACTATACTGAGTAATTTTGCTTCAGGACACATCTATTCTTTGGCACCTGTTTCCTAAGACGCCTTGCTCTGGTTTGTGAAAAAAAAAAAAAAAAGAAAAACACAAAGCTTGATTGTATTGTTCTGTTGGTGCTGAATACTGAGTATCTTCTCACAGATACAGAAACTTCAGGCTGCCCATCGTACTTCATTTCCAGCGTTAGCTAGTACCCTTTAAATCTCTCTCCTAATCAGTCATTCGTCATAAACTCAAGAGTTGGCTTGACTTGCAGGCTCATTGTTAACAGTGACTAAGGCATCTTATAATGTCAATCACACCTGTTACAAATGTCTTAGCTTAATTCATACTGGATGATTTTGTATCTACGGAACGCCTGATATTTTAGGACTACGGATCAGTGCCCAATAGCGAATACTGCACTATGGTATGTGGTGGGATCATAGTCAAGTCCAGTCTGTGTTCACCAATGGAATTCAAACCTGTGGTGTGTGTGTGGTGGACTGGGAGGGTGGGTCAAACAAAAGCCCTTCCCGGTTTATTGGCTGGCTCTCTGATGGCTGACTGGCTCGAATCCTTCTTGACTTGCCTTCTTGCCTAGATTTGTTCATCTCTTTCTGTTGTTTCTGATTCTTGGAAGTCATGCCCCTCTCTTGGGACCTCTGCACACTTAGAACTCCAAGAACTTCCCTCTTCACGGTCAGAAAAGAAAGTGTTGGTGAACTGAGAACTGGGAGAGTAGTGCCTACGAGTGTTGCCAGGGCTTTGGTCTGATGGTGAGCCAGCCAGGAGGTGCCCTCCCTGATGGGAAGTTTAATACTAAGTAACCCATAGATGTATCTCCTTCACAACAGATTCTTCTGAAACAGTCCACAACTATTTAGATTACTTCCCAGTCCTAGCTAATAGGTTTAGTAAGACATATCCCAGATACAGTTTCCCAGTCTCTTTGTGACTCAAAGGTTTCGGACTGATGTGGCCATAGCATCAAGGCTCATTATTTGTCCTGGCATTACACGTGTGTGTGTGCGTGTGTGTGTGTGTGTGTGTGTGTGTGTGTTTATGGTCTGCAGTGATGTATGCCACCTGCTATATCCCACAAGCCTGCTGGGTAGCATAAGAGTATTTTTGCATTTGCGGGATGCTTTTCAAAGTTGGCATTTATTTCAATAATTTCTCCTCCTTCTCTCAGGGTCAGTGGGCACATCTGTGGAGACTGCACCCCTTGTTTCCTGGCACTGGAGGAGATTAGTGAGGACACCTGGTTTCTTCTCATTTTGCACAGAGAGAGAGAGAGGCTCAAGGGTTGTGGGCTCAGCGGTGAGTATCTGAATCTCATGGAGACATTTCAGCAAGTGTGCTGGGTGGACATATGCTTGCAGTTATTTTTTCAGTGTTGGGAATAGAGCCAGAAGTACTTTATTTCATTCATTCCTTTGTTCAACATGATTTAGGTTGCTAATGTGTGTCATTCCTTGTTTTGAGAGCTATGGTGGTAGGGAAGACAGATTTTTATAAAACATCTCTGCCCTTAGGTCTGGGGAGGCAAAACACACACACACACACACACACACACACACACACACACACACACACACCAGAGTTAACATAGTGACACGAGTGAGAAGAACACAGCCCGAGATGCTCATTAGGCTGGGCGCAGGGGGCTGTCAGTCTGAAGAGCTGACCCCCTGGCTACTGCCATGATCGAGTCTTCCGCTCCCTATTCATTCACAGGGCTAACTGGTCTAGCTGAGAGCAGAAATCAGCACAAAGAAGGAAAAGAACTACTCCTGGTTTATGCTGAATGGAACGGAGAAAACAGGGGTCCATCTGTTTTGTGTCAGTGTTACAAGATTCAGACGTGCCTTTGTTGAATGGCTTTCCTAGAGTTTCTGGGTCGTCTAGTTCCATAAGAGATGCAGTTGCTGAAAATAAACACTCTTTCCTGAAATAAAAGCAATAGATCTGTGTACTCAGTGTCCAGTGACTCCAGCCCTTGGAGGGATCTGGAAGAGACCCCAGCTGCACCCAAAATTGTGCCTGGCAGGGATACTAACAGGTGGAGATGTGAGGAAGGAGAGATTTACTCAGAGGACTGAATTGAGATCAGTTATTGATTCATGAAGACATTTCTATTTGGTGTGAGGGGCAAAGGTCTCTCACTGAACTTCCGCTGAGGGTGAGCTACACCAGGCGGTCAGGCAAAAGAAGTTTCAGTCAGGGGCCTTTTCCACTGGCCCTCATGCTCCCCCACAGGTAGGAGGATATTTGAAAAATAGGAAAGAGGAGAGACCAAATTTTTTTTGATGCATTTTTGATGGATCCAAGTGTTGTGGAAAAGAAAGAGGAGAGTCTCCCCTTCTCCATCTGGAGGTGGATCTCCAAGGGGTATCTGGTTTGTGATCTTTTATTCATGCTCATAATCCGTTTGGCTCTATCTTTGGGAAATTACTTCTATTCAGTGCACTTAATTGCTTAAATTGCTTTGAGTTTGCTGCATTTAAAATATTTGGTAAAAGACACGTGGAAACATTGACAGTAAAATGTGTATCAGGTGAAAATAAACTTCACAGATTCCCAGACCTAGTTTCATCTTGTAAATACTGAATTTGGAGTCCCAGGAAATAGCTGAGAGGCTATTAATTTTTTGCTTGTCCACGAACAGAAAATAAAAGAAATAACAATCATAGTTATGAATTTTTGAACACCTATAAAATGTTAGGCACTCAGGATTTTACATCAAATTCAAAAAACAAAGATGAACGAATCTGTGGTTCTGCTCCTGCCGACTCTGTGATTTTAGGGGCCTGGTCTCTGTGACCACTTATGGTGCTCAGTGAAGCCCATCCAGCCAAGTTGGGGGAAAGTTCCAGAAAGATCTCCCCTCACCCGCCTTTCTGCTTTGAGGAGAACCCTGTAATACCTTTTAGCTTTTATGTGTGGCTTGGGGACCTCTTTCCAGCAAGCCAGCAGAATTGGCACTGACTTTCTCAAACCTGAGAAAGTTGGAGCTGCCTAATAGCAGAGAAGTGACCGCAGCAGCTTCCAAGGAGGCCTTTGAATCTTGGCTCTGTTGCAGTACTTGACTGTTTCTAACTGTGCATCTGAGGGCATGTTCCCTTTTTTATTTACACTTGGATTTACTTGATCCTGCTGACCTCTTTCCAGACAGCATCTGTATTGCTTGTTACAGCAAATCAGAAAAGTGACCTGCTCATTCATTCATGAAGTTTTATCAGTTGCCTGTGGTGGATACATTACTGCAGAAGGGGCTTAAAGCAGGTGCTCTGAGCTCAAATGTCCAACCTTCCTTAGCCTTGGTGTTGGCTGGGACAGGGGGTCCAAAAATCTGTAGACCACGTGCTTATAGTTCTGTTCTGACCTAACTGGTCATTTAGGAAGACTTCTTGACCTTTGGAGAAGTGCTGCCTCTGAGGAGGCCTTTGGTTTATCCAGTGATGTGGACAGGAGGGGGAGGATGTGTCCTGTACATGAGGAATTGTCCCACATCCTGCATGAATTGTGAATATCTCAGTAGATGCTGGTGTAGGTGAAAACACTTTTGTCAATTAGCTGAGCCTAGGTCTTAACCGTTCTACATATAACACAAAGTGTTTTGTGTATAACGCTGATCTGCACTGACTTTCCCAGGGACTATATCTACTGTGTAAATTGAGAAAATATTGCACGTTATGATGTTCAAAAATTTATCAGGAATTGCTCACATCCTTCCCATCATGGAAAATCATTGTCACTGATGGCAACGCCTCTCATGGTATCGGAATTGCCCACAGATTGTAGCAATCTGTGCTTCTAGCTGTCTCATTCCTGGCGAGGCTATGTAAAGACACAAGCGTCTGGCCATTTCGCCATGTCTTCTAGTTAGTCATCCTCCTGAGTATTTACAGATTGAAAGAAGTGCTATTTCATACATTCTTTCCCATGTATTTCTCCATGACATTCTAGTTAGTACGTTATATTGGTATTTGTCTTTGCATGTTTTAAATTGCTGCTGCTTTTTTCCTAAGAATACAGTTCTGTTGTGAAATGGGGTGAGGATGTACTTTGTTTTGCTTAGAACTTTACCAGGAGTTGCTCACCATTTTGAAAAATGAACTCACTGATAGAAATAGCACTCAGAGAATGAGTCGTAAATACAAGACACTTGATTAGCCTGCATTTTTAGGTATCACCTTCATGGTGATTCTTTCAGATATAGATGTGAACATCTCATGACTTAATGTCTTCCAGTATAGGCATGATCCCTTACATATTGAGTTATGCATTTCATTGTAGATTATTTACTTTAATCACTCCATTTACTTAGGACAATATATTTCTATTATAAAAAGTGATGTGGGTCAGATATATTATCCATGACTTTCAAGTCGGGTCATTATTAAAAGCTTGTTATAAAAAGGGAACGTTGGTTCTGACAGGGCTCTGATGAGAAGCTCTGAGGAACAGCCTTGGTGCAGGTCAGTTTCTGGCACAAAGGAAGCCCCTTTGTGGGTCAACATGGGCAACCAACTTCCCGTTTCGGGCTTTCCCCTAGATGGCTCATGTCTTGGTTCAAGGTCAATTTGCTAAATATCATTTGGAAATTTATATATTGTTCAGTTGATCTAAAATTCAACTTCCTTCTAAGTGTTTTCCTTTTCATTCAGTTGTTCTGTAATACTATTTTGTACCTTTTCCTCTAGAACACACTATGACATTTGTCTTACCAATCTCTCTCTGTATATGTATGTATAAAGACACACATTTCTCTTTTTTTCCCTAATACATTTGAGATTAAGTGCACAGGGATACCCTATTGTCTCTAAGGACTTTAGTATGTATTTCCTAAGAACAAGGACACTCTCCTCTAAGACCACATTACACCTCTTGCAATCAGGAAATTGACATTGATATCTTACTACCATCACATATACACGACCACAGTTCCCATTCACAGGCCTAGCTTGTCCCAATAATGCTGTTTATGGACGCAGGAGCCAGTTCAGGTTCACTCGTTTCATTTAGTTGTCATATGGCTTTCTGGTCTCCTTCAATCTGTAGCGGTTCCTCTGTCATCCTGGTCTTCCATGGCCTTGATGTTTTTAAAGGGGCTAGGACAGTTACTTGGTAGATGGTTCCACAGTTGGGCATTGTCTGGGGTTTCCTCATCAATAGATTTCAGGTTGTGCATTTTTGGCAGGAACGTCACAGAGGTGATGTTGTGTTCTTCTCAGTGTGTAATTTCAGAAGACACATGATATTGGTTTTCCCATTACTGATAAGGATAAAACAGTGAACTTTTATCACTTAGTTAAAATGGTAACCATCAGGTTTCTCCATTGTAAAGCTAATTAGTAGGTATTTTTAAGAGCAGATCCTGTGATACTATGTACATATGCTCTTCCTTATCAAACCTTCACCCTAGAGTCTACTGGTGAATCTTGCCTGAATCAGTTGTCCAATGGCAATTTTCTAATTGCATGGTGCCTTCTACACTTACGAGTTGGCATTTCTATGTAAGGTAGAACTACTATGTATAGATGTATGTACTTATGAGTTCCTATTTTATTCAGTGGGTTATAATCCCTTACCATTGGCATTTATTTTGATGCCCAAGTTGTTTTCAACTTGGCTGGTGGAACACCTGTCAAGCTGGATTCTGCATCTTTTAGGCACGTTCCTATCATTCCATCACAAGATGGTCCAGGCTTGGTTCCCTGCCACAGCCCTGGAATCAGCCATTTTTCCAGGAATCCCTGGTGCCCTTTAGAAACCAGGATCTGGTGCTGGGTGTGTTCATTGCTGCTTGTTTGTCTTGCTTCCAGGCCTTCTCAGCAGACAGAGCTAGAATCGATCTCTCCTTTCTTTTTCTCTCTCTCTCTCGCTACATATCTATGTCTACTGCTATGTACATGTATATTTATCTATTAGGAACCGTAACTTTACATCAGTATCCCTAAATACAATCTCACATTGTGAGGTTTATTCTAGACTTCTCCTTTCCATACTTGTACCTGCATTCTCAACAATGAGAAACCTGGCTTGCACATTCTTACTTTATTGACTTATTTCTCAATCACCTTGTAAGTAACCAGTCTTCCAATCACAGGAGCCATTTCCTCGGCCAAGCACTGCCAACTCCCGCTGCTCCTCACATGCTGGAAGATTTCTCCTCCTCCAGCCCTGGTTGCTTGCCACCTGAGAGTTTGCCTACAGATATTTTTGAAGTTATGTGTAAAGGAAAGATTATATTGTCTACAAATTTTATTTCAGGATAATGGAGCAGTGTTGGAGGAGGTCATTGAGAGGATGTGACT